ATTTATTTATTTATTTCGACAGTGTAGACACACCCACAGACAAGCCCCACCCTTCCCTGGGGTTTTATAATATCATCTGACTGATGTGAGGCGACAACCAATCACACAGAAGCATCCGAGAAATGAGTCAATCAGAAGCCAGGAACTGGGAGACGTCACACGTTGCGGGGAGGGAATGCAAAAAGCAAACATCCTCTCCAGCCAATAGCTATTAACGGTGGGCGGGGCTAACTGATTCCCTGAAGGACAGACTCGTCTGTAGTGGGCGGGCTTCACTTCATCTCTCTTTCCTCAACCACTGGGAGGGAGTGTTGCTTTAGTTAGGCGGAATTAAAAAGTCTGCTTTCATTGGACGAAGGTTGTACTTTCTCTTTCCGCTCAGCCAATAAGAATAGGCATCACTTCGAGGGCGTGGCTTAATATCCCATCCCAGCCAATGGCAGGCCTCCCTCCCTCAGCGCGAGCGAAGAAAAGCCCCAAAAGCCTTTCATAGGAGGAAGGAGAGTGGGCAGTCACTTTCTCTTTCTTCCCAACCAATAGCAGGCGTCGCTGGAGTGAGCGCGCGCGCGTGCGTAGGAGGGGGGGAAGTCGAGTCTTTCATTCGAGGAAGGCGGGGCTTGCTCGCTTTTCTAACCAATGGAACGTTGAGTTACCTCAATGGGCGGAGGTGGTGGGCGGGGATTGCTCTCTTTCCCAACCAATGGAGTGTCGAGTTGCTCTAGGAAGCTGAGGTGGTGGGGCGGGGATTGTTGGCCCCCTCCAACCAATGGAATACCGCGTTGCCTCAAAGGGCGGTGGTGGTGGGCGGGGATTGCTCGCTTTCTCAACCAATGGAAGGCCGAGTTACCTCAGGCGGCCTCTCTTGAGTTTTTCCACCGGCGGCCATTGAACGCTCAACGCTGGCCTTCCGTCTCTGTTTTGGGATGGAGGCCGCGGAAGTCGAGTTCTTGGCCGAGCAAGAATTGGTCACCATCATCCCCAACTTCAGCCTGGACCGGATTTACCTCATTGGGGTGAGCGAGGGCGACGGGAAAAGAGGACTTAAAGTGGGAGAAGGGGGTAAAATTAATGAATAAAAGGGACATTTAGGTGGAGAGAGGGCCTTTCTCAGCCTGGTCTCCTCCACAAACTCCCAGGCCTACAACAATTCCATCATCCCCAGTCTGCGGGGTCGGCAGGTAGAAGCGTATAATGGTTGTATAGAGTTTTATATACTGAGCTTTTGCGTGTTTAAATTTCATTTCCCGACACTTAAAACCGACATTAATACAAAGCAACACATTAGATAAACTCACCTAACCTAAACAAGGACATAAACTAGACTTAAGACATAACTACCTATTAAAATACATAAAAGAAATACAAAATAGACATCACTTCTCTACTTAACTTTTTCTTAAATGTCTTGTGTCCCTTTTACTTTTTAGTTTTTCTATAATATATATATATATATATATATATACTATAAAATATCTATATCTGTATCTATATAGATACACAAATCTTTAAATAAATATGAAAATATATATATATATATATATATATAATTTATATTATATATATGCTTCAGTTAGGTGGATGAATTAAAAAAGCTGCTTTCATTGCTATATATATATATATATATATATATTTAATAATATATAAAAGCTGCTATATGTATAATTTATATATAATATACATAAATATATGGATATGTGTGTGTGTGTGTATCGCACCCTTCTCCCAGGACTTTCCTTGGCTTACAAAATTTTCCAGTGAACTCATGGCCAGAGGGGGAGGAGCCAGCCTGCAAATAGCCCTCCCATAACACCTGAACTGAGATCAGAAGTAGAAAATGCAGGTCTAAGACTAGGGGTAGGCAACCTTTCCCCTTTAAGGGCTGAAGGACTTCAGCTCCCAGAATCCCAGGAGCTATTGGCCAACATGGGACTATTGGCCAACATGGCTGGGGCTTCTGGGAGCTGAAGTCCCTCGGCCCTTAAAGGGGAAAGGTTGCTTACCCCTGCCTAAGACTTAACATCTTCAATTAGTTTCTCCTGTTTGCCTGATGAAGAAGCTGGTGTGACTTTGAAAGCTTGCAACATGTAGTTGTGCATTTTGGTTGGCCCAATATAGGTATTGTTTGGATGTTATTGGATTTGTTTTATGGCCAACTTCACTATCCCTATATACACACACATACATACATACACATATATATAACCACATATCGTATTTATTCATGAATCCTACATATTCATTTTTATTAATATACCCCTTTGATCAAAAAATTGTAGTTTTTTTCTGAGACATTGATTGAGCCTTCTCTATCAGAGAGCTCTGGTGACACAGTAAACTACAGTTCCCATGATTCCTTAGCACTGAGCCAGGACAGTTAAAGTGGTCTCAAGCTGGATTATTTCTGGTAGTCTGTATAGGCCCTAACCTCAGTGAAAGTGGAGGGCCTACTGTATTTGCTTTTTATCCTTTTAGAATAGTCAATATTTCCCCCTTGCATAGATTCAAGGAGCATAAATACTCTGAAGGTACCACATCTCATCTAATCTTCAAAGCTAAACAGATTCAGCCATGGTTCGTACTTGGATGGAAGACCTCCAAGGAATAAGAAGTTGCTGGAGACTATTTTTCAGAGGAAGAAACTGGCAAGACCACCTCTTGAGTCTTCCTTGCCAAAAAAATCCCAACAAAACTCATGGGGTTGTCATAAATTGACAGATGACTTAAAGGCACATGCACACACACAGATTAAAAGAATGAAGACACAGATTGCAGTTTCACTTTGTTTATTCTGGCATAAGAGTTTGTATAGTTGTTGTTTGTTGTGTGCCCTCAAGTTGTTTCTGACTTATTGAGACCCTCCAGTGTTGCGCAGTGGTATGAGTGTTGGACTAGGACTTTGGAGACCAAGGTTCGAATCCCAGCTCAGCCATAGAAACCCACTGGCTGGCCTTGGGCAAGTCATACTCTCTCACCCTCAGGGGAAAGCCATGGCAAACCTCCCCTGAACAAATCTTGCCAAGAAAACCCTGTGATAGGATCACCTTAGGGACGCCATATAGCAGAAATAACTTGAAGGCACACAACAACAACAAAGTGAACCTATTATAGGGTTTTCATTGAAAGAGTTGTTTTGAGGCTGAGAGCATGTGACTTGCCCAACGTCACCCAATGGGCTTCATGGGTTTGTTGGCAGTAGGTTTCATGGCCGAAGTGGGATTTGAACCCTGGTCTCCAAAGTTGTAGTCTAAGACTCAAACCACTATGCCACATTGACTCTCAGTTTGTATACTAGAGTCCATATTACCAATCGCCAGCAAGCATTATCCTCCATTAGGTCCACATAGATTTTGAGTCTTGCAAGATGTATTTAGCTGCTGGACTGAGATGGTTGCCTCTTTAGCAGCTGTTAAATAATTTATGTAAAATATGACAGAATTAAAAACCAAAATTAAACTGAGTGCAAAAATTACTTGAGGGAGCAGCTACCCACAGAGGAGAGGAAGGTCTGACCATCAGATGTGGTCTGTGGGATCAGACTGAAAGCTTTTCTAGTGTAACAACTTGTTTTCCACAGAGGTCAATCCTTTGTGTCTGACTCGTCAGAAAGAATGAGGACAGACACTTTTCCTCACTCTTGTTTTCCAACCGCTGGTGCTGTTGTTAATTGCTGTCAAGTCATCTTTGTCTTATGCTGACCTATGAATGAGAGACCTCCATTATGACACCTTGTCATAAACATAAACTTATTTAGGTCCTGCAGACTCAGGATTGTTGTTTCCTTGATTAGGTCTGTGCAGCAGAGGATCCAGCCTCTGTTTTAAACCTATACATAAAATTTGGAAACACTATGGCTGTAGATCTATTTAAATCAATGGAATAATATAAAAG